ACAAACTGTTCTGTTTTCTCCTCGTTAATGCTTCCTTATCGCTTCGTTGAGTTTTATTTACAAAACCAAGTCCATAATAAACGGAACAAGAGGACCAAACTAAATTTCTTACAGAGCTTCATGTTGGTCTAGAGAAAAAGGAAAGTTTCTTTTTAACATTGAGAGCCGTTGTTTACATAGAGATTTATTTTTCACCTGCTCACCTCTGTAATAGGTTCCTCCTTTCTATGAAGCTGTTTTCTTGGAAAATATGTAAATACCAACATGTGTGAGCAGCAGCATCACTAGGTGGGCTTATTTGCTACAAGGGAACAGAAAATTCTAATTGTCATATCTTAAAAACACTCAAGGTCAGTTTTCTCCATCACCAGTTTAAATGTACCATTTTGTACTTTTTAAACAAATAATTTTAGACCCATCTATTGGGTGGATCCATTTGTATCCCCTATTCCTGTTGAGTATTTTCCTGACTTTTACATAGAAAAATGCCAAATATGGTCTGTACTGTAACTCAATTGTAGGTTATATTATTATCTAAAATCTATGTATTGTAATTTTTCCATTTAATTTAATTTAGGGTTGGCTATCATGAAATATGCTGATTGAAATCAGAACAACTCCAAAAGTGACCTCCATTAATATTGGTTATATTGTAGTTATACAATAATGATTTCATACAGCAGACTGAGTGAAATATCTATAAAAAAAAAAAATTATGCGTGGTTGTTAGGATATTCAACAATAGATGGCACAAAAACTAGAATTGGAAGATGGGGAGGATTTGAAAAGACTGAAAACTATAAAAACTGAAGCAAATAACAAAAGTCCTCTCATCATGATTAAAGTTAAATTCACATAATCTCATTTAGAGCTAATGGGTCACAACTCAAAAGGATTAATGTGGAAATAAGAAACCAAATCACAAAAGAAAAAGCTTCCAGGGATCTTATAGGATGTAATTACTAAAATGATATTTTGCCGGTGGTGCATGGTGGAGCATGGCAGTGGAGGGTTGATGATTTAGGTTTGTTTTGCAGCCTCAGGATCCAGACACCTTCCAGCCTTTAAGCCTTATTACGTAATGTAATTGGCAAGATCATCAAACCAATATTCTCTATTCCCTAAAAATAACATTACCACAGCTGGATTTCTCACTATTGCTGCTGTTATCCCTCTCTGTTTTAAAATCTCTGAATTTCCACCGAATAAAAAAACAGCAGGAAAGTGGTGAGCCAGACAAGGAGCAGCGTTATTTAGTTGTAATCTGTCACATTTGCTTAGAAGGTAGTCAGCTAAATAGTCTGTCAGCGCCGCCTTAATTACTGTTTCATGACTCGTTGGGACTCATTTCCTTCTTTGTCAGCTGACAAAGCTACATAAATCTTAACCAAGACATTCTGAAATTGTTAGTTCATTCTGTGTCTGTTAACTTTTTAGGTACCTTTTTACTTACTCTCACCAGGCTTCTCTTCTAAAGAGCATCCAGCAAGCATGAAATGCGATAGCAGAGCAGGAGATGAAGACAAGGATTTCTTTTAGAATGTTTAATTTTTGTAGTGCATGTAAATGAATTAGATCGGATACAGAGGTTATCCGTTGTTTTTCCCTGTTATTGGATTTTTACTGTTCTTGAAAAGGTGCTTATTGAGTTGACCAAGCTGGGTCCTCAGAAATGACCTCTGATGCACCTCATCTACAAACCAATTGCTGAAAAGGAGATAAATCAGTGTTGTAATAATGTTGACCAGACCAAGTCTGAGCCGGATTAAAATGTACTGACTGGATCTTAAGAGAGCTGTGTGGAAACAAACCTCCTTACTGAAGAATCATAGTTACCTAAAATAGTTACTTAAAACTGAAATCTGCCCAAGCTAATATTTTTTTTATTTTTGTCTTTAAGCTCTCTATAGTTTAAAGATTTATATTTATCCATCTGGTTCCAGTTTCTCTTCCCTGTTGCCATAGAGCTACGCCTGTGGGTCAGTACGAGTAGCCGACCTCTCCTCGATCAGTTTACATTCCAGCTCGGTGTTTTCAGCATTTCTCACTTAGTTTAACCCCCATCTGTTCGGTATGAAAATCAATTGGTCCATCGGGTGGAGCAATGGGGTTAAACTGGGTTACAAACTGCAGCAGTTCACTGGGATTTCCTGGAACAAGCTCTCCATTTTAGTAGTCAGTTCTTTTTGTAAACTGATAGGAAACATGAACAAAATCAATCATTTAAATGAATTATTGAGATTCCTGACCACTCTTTTTTTTAAACACATCCTTTGTTTTATATGCTCTCACTGCTGCCTCCTGTTGGTAATACCCTTACAACAATTTATCTAATCTATTTTATAATCATTTAATGCAGAGTGAAATTCAACCAGATTCAAAATGCATGAAGGGGTTTGTGTTTGTAGGCGTTTAATTTAGATGTTTTATTGGAATGTGTTAGTTTAAAAAAAAGATTTGATAGTAAAACTGCAGCAGAACTTCTACATCTGCAGCCCTGATCCCAGGTAATAAACTTCCAGACTGTAACCAAACTGTGTGCTCACTGCACCCAAGCAGTTTTCTCTAAATCAGATAAACTTGGAGTTCAGAAGAGAAAAGATTAGGCAGCAAAAACACAACCTAGTCACGATGAACTCGTATAAATATAAGCTCTACTGTAATAATTTCAAAAACCCAGGTTCCTGCTTTTCAGCTTAAGGTTGTTATAAACCAACAAAATCTAATGTTTCTGTTCCCAGATTCTGCAGCAGCATCTAAAGACTCGAACTCCTATATTGGTGCAACTTCAAAATTCACGTATCATGTAAATTTTTTTGAGCCCGTGATCAATTTGTTCTGACACACCAGTTTGTCTAATGTTGGATGGTTTTCAGTAGAAGCTCTAAATAAACACTGTGGCACAGTATTGATCGGTGGGATGCCAAATTCATGTGTTGAAAAGTCGATAAGGGATCACGTGGAAGCACAGAGTGCTGCTGCTGTTTGTGTCTCGCTCCAGTGGGTCCTGGCACTGCAGTCGGCTCACCGGTTTCCACAGTAGGGTCAAAGGGTCACTGTGGACCTCTGCGGCAGGAGATGTAAAAAAATCCACCTTAAGATGCTGTATTTTCTTTAATTTATTCATTTGGAATCTTTGTGGATCAAATGCCTGTGGATATTGCTTTATTTTTTTCTATTGTTTTTTTGTTTTATTCTTAAATCTGTTCATATATAACTTTTTATTAACTTGTAATATTTGGCGTTTTCCTCCTGTAACATAGAATTAAGCATAATTCAGTCACAATGATATTTTCTATTTAAATATGTACAATGTTTTGATCACTTTTTGAGGAAAAAAAAACCTAAAATCTTCCTGGTGCAGCTCTATTTTCCACCTTCCAGCCCCTAAAGGCCAAACTGTCATCCGAGGGAAGCAGTGATCTGATCAAACAGATCCAGAAATCAGTGCATGATACGTAAAGATGGTGCCACTCCTGTTGGAGAAAAATGTGATTACTGCTTGTGAAGTATATTCAATCAGTTGATTTAACTGCATTTTAAAAAGAAGAATCATCAGATACATTATGACTCCAGCTAGCCTTTCAACAACTGAACGTACTGGCTTTGTAAAATGTGCCGTAAATTGGAATGAACCATTCTTCTAATTAGTGGAACATTTTCCTTTCATGTCAAGGCTATGAAAAAATGACAGCAAAACAATATAGAAAGGCAACGTTCATCATCCAATGTATAAATAAGCTTGCAGGTCGGCTGTGGAGGATGAACTCTCCTTATGCACCAGATTTCCCAGTTTCTTCTATACATTTTCAGCTAGATTTAAATGCAATATCGTTCTAAAAAAAACCCAAAAAAACAATAATGAAGCCATCCTAAAAAGCAACGTCATCATCAGCTGGAACTAGATAACATCCATTTATACATTTCATAATGAATTACTGACATGCAGGTTAATATGTCATGACTGTGAGTCGGCATTTCTTTAGACGGACATCTTTGGATGCTTTTTCAAAATGGTACTGAACAAACTATGTAAGTCTCTCTGACCAAAGCTGATCAGATTTTATCTCAGAATAAAACATTCATCCTACCATAACCTCCTTACATTTTTTTTTAATAATCTTCTACTGTTTCCGTCAACAGCTCTCTTTTTTAGTTCAACGTTGTCTTTCAGACAACCAGCTACAGAAGCGCTTTTATTCCAACTATCTAAATCAGACATGCAGGTATTTATTTTAGAAATACAAGATGCGGAATGTGTTTTCATTCTTGCTTGATCAGCAAAAAAAAGATATCTCATTACTTCTAATAATGTTTAATTTGATCCATTTTTGTTTTAGGCATGATTTACAAAGCCAGACTATCAATTTATCGATAAGGTGTCCTACGAGACAAAAAAGTATTTATGACGCCCATGTTTTTAAAAGAAACTGACTTTAAAAATGGGCTGAGATTGGAGTATCCATGAGCTACATCAATGGTTTCCATCCTTGCCCTCAGGTCCTATTGTCTCCCGTGTTTTGGGGTTTCCCTGCTCCCAAACATCCAATCTAAATAAAGAATAGCAACCTGCAGAGGAAGTAATGCAATTATTTTTTCCAGGTCTACTAGAGCAAAAAGATATGCAAAACACGCAGGGCATTAGGACCTGACGGCAAGGATACTGTAAGGGACCACTGCATTACATTATGGCCCCACGTTGGTCGTCTATACTGCTTTTGATATACTAGCATTTATTGGACCCATATTGGCAGGGACACTGTTGTTAAATTCGACTTGATGGGATTATTTTCAAGATATCTAATGAGCCCAAGTTTGTTGCCGACGCAGGTTTGATACAGGACAACCCAACTTTCACATATGCGCCCATAGTGGTCATAAATTACTGAATAGTACACCTAGATTACTGTAAGTAATTACCAAGGTATATATTCAACTTGAAAATGCAAATTTGATAAAGGACAACCCTAGGTAAAAAAAAAAAGAAAAACTGGGGTTTTGAATAGGTTCTGTGATTTGAAGAACTTTTTTTAAAAGCTTATTTAAGATCCATTAAATGCCTGCACAAGATTCCCAATTGGTTTTGCCGATATAATTCATTTTTAAACAACCCAAATAGGCCCAAAAACAAAAGGCCCATTTAGTAAAAAGCAGATTATCTTGGTTGTTATTCAGACTGACCTCAGATGTTCTTCCTAAAACCATCAGTCAATACAGAAAGAACACTAAAAGGACCCTTGACTTAATTTCTTACATGGTGTTGATAATTATATCAATATTCTGACTTTACTCCATAAACATGACTATACAGACACGGTTTTACTTTGAACTGCAGCTCTGTTCCATGAGCTTAACTTTCTGCAGCTGAACACAATTCAGGAGAACTTCTGCAAACATATTAAACACAAGAAGAATCCATGTTTGGATTTTCAGCATTCCTTCTTTCTGACAGACTGTATTTCTTTGTAGTTTTGTGGACCATTTTTTACCTGTTTTGTGCAACTGTTATCTGATGACTGTTATTAGCAGCTTTTTCTTTTTAAGTCTCAGAATGATTTTTCTCTGGCTTTTGTAAAAACTGAACAACATGTCACATCCCATTTATTTGATAAGAAAAAAAAAATCTGACAGGAAAAAAAAATGTTTTTGTAGAGAAATAAAAGCATGAGGACTGTTGACGGTGTGTTCCGGTTAAATATGTCCAAGTGTTTTTGTTATTTTACATTTAAATGAAATGAAAGAGTTTTCATATAAATGACTCTACACAGACTCAATCTGTCCTTGACTTAAAAAGTTAGAGTTACAGAATCAAGCACATCCTCTTTCAACACCATCCAGCTTTTGGTTCTGAAAGGCTTGTGTAGACTTTGTAAGGTGCTTTGAATCATGCTGCTCTGCTGCAGGGGAGTCCGCTGCCTCATCATGGCCGTTCCTGGCCCCATGTGACTCGCTTGGTGAATCGATTGATAGCTGATAAAGTTTCTCTCCATATGCTGTAACTCATCCTTGTATCCTCACTTCTTCATGATGGAGGAAATATCCAGGAACATACTCTGAAAGACACAGACACATTGGTTTTTACACCACACCAGTAGGCTTATTAGATCACTTTCTGGTTACCATGTTGTGGGACTAATTAATGCATGGAGCAGTTTGTCTGTTTGGCAGCAGGATAATGATTTTTCCAATATACAGTCGAATAAACAACATGGAGAGGAGAAGGGGTCACTAAAAGTCCTTATTACCCAATTGACCCTTTTTCTAGTTTTTCTCTTTGCTATGACTTTTGAACTGAGTAGAGTTTCAAGTGTATTACCTTTTATTTGTGAGGTGTTCGAAAAAACCTCGCTCAAAAACAATACCAAAAAGGTGGAGAAAATTACCTAACAGTTATCCATTTATCTGTCCTTCTGATTGTCCATCATCTTACACTTTGCATAGGCAGCTTTAACCCTTTTTTTTGCGAATTGTATTTTATTTCAAGCATGATTTGTTGTGACCTCTACACAATTAGAGTAATATATTGTTTTTAAAAAACCTGATGTGCACACTCAGATACTTGTAGTCAACAGAAAATTAACAGTAAACTGCAAATAATTACCTAATGTATCAAAAGTGGTACGAATCAAACCTGCTGCAACTGTGCAAATTTATATGAACTTCTTTAATTTTCATTTGGCAGAATATTCAAAAAAGACTAGTTATAAAAACAGAATTCTTTGAGAGTTATGTCATTGTTCAGGCTTTACAGGGTTAACAGTGAAACCGTAATTTCCCACTCCATCTACTCTACAGATGCTTCTAAAACAATCCAATGACAGAGAGTTGAATGCATGAGTTCTAGTTCTCTAGAGCAAGACTGGCTTACACTGAGGGCTGTCCTGGTGCAGTATTTTTTTAAGCAAAACCTTCTTAATATGTAAGTGCAGTGGGCACTGGAGGGGAGCGTGCCTCTTATTTGCAGGTCTGTGCGGCCCTGGCTGGTTTTTAAATGCCAATAATTGAGAGTAATGGGTCGGGTCTTGGTTATGAACTCTATGGGTGTAGGCGGATACTGTTTTGAAAAAATCAGACCTGTGCAGGACTGCAGGTGTGAAGTATCTCAAACCCCTCCATAGGGAGGTACAGAGGAGGCATCCTGATCAGATAAACCCCTTTTTGAGGACCAGCCCTACCCCAGGCCCCTAGATAATAGAGCTCCTCCCTACATCTCTTAAACTTAAACCTGACATCCTGACAGAGAAAGGTAAATTCATGCACTTGTATCTAGCATATTGATTCTTCAGTCAGTACCTGAAAAATAACTCAAAAGGTAATTTTTGTATCATTACCGCAGCTGAACCCTGAGTCACCTGTCTATCTCCTAATTTATTTTACATTAAAGAACAGACTACCGGTACTCACTGTCTGAGGCCAAATTCTAACGGTGACTCCCCCTAATGTCAACTAATTAAATTTGACTGAGCCAAAAATCTGAATTGGTACCAAGTTAAAAGAAGAAGATCAGCTCCATGTGAGGGAACTGTCTGAGACTGTGTTTGTCAAGACAGCTGTCAGGTTGAGAACTACAGACGGGAGCATGTTGTCATGGTTTCATGCTGACAATAGAAATTCCCCATTCTGATTTTTCATTTATGAAGGCCATCTAACGAATTTATGAAATGTATTACATGGTCAGGATATATGAATTGTTTTCTTGTTTTATTTCCATCTTAAGACAGCCTTCTAGAAGTCATGTTGAAATAGTCTGCTCTCAGATTGCTAGTTGTTGTTTTCTAATAGACTTTCATCATTGCAAGTTTCTGAGCCATCAGCATCGCTAAGAATAGCAAAGAACCTGAATACATACTGCAAACCTTTGTCTCTCTTTTAACGACAAGCTTATCCCTTCCTCTGTATAAGTGTTTTTTTCTTTTTATTTATGTAACAAGATACTCTCAGTACTTTTACTCACCAACATCACATTCAGTGACTGAATGAACTGCTTTATTTGTAAAAAAATGCCTTCCACTTAGGCAGACTGTATACTTAAGCACAAAGTGCCTCACAGATTTAGCTTCAGCAGAACCTTTTGCATCTCTACCCACCATTGACATCCGTCGACCTCCAGCTGGCGGCATCATAGGCATGTCTCCCTGGAGAGATCCCAGTTCATCTGACTCCTCTGAGCTGTGTAAGGACTGGCTGGTGGAGGCGCTCATGGAGGACAGGTTTTCTGACGGAGGCCTGTTCATGAAGCTGGTCCTTCTGGGGTTTGGAATCAGCAGGTCGCTGACTGAAGATTGTCGTCTTTCTTCTTCATTAAGGACTCTGATGGGTGCAGGCCTTAATGTTCTCCCAGAAAGCACAGGGTCCAAATGGCTTGGCTGAGGATGCTGCTCCTCGTGGATTTCTGCTTGGCTGGTTGTGTCCTCCTCTACTGTAGACATGGCAGATTTCCAGGCTGGATGGTGGTCCAGGGTCACTGTGTGGATCTCTGCACCTTCACTGGTTTGTGGAGTTGCACATATCTCTTCAGACCTGGGTGTCATCCTTACCTGAGGGCAGGTGTAGCTGGTCTGTCCAAAATGAACCAAGCTGTTGTGTCTTGGTGAGTCATGGATGACTTTTACTCCACTGCTGTAATAAAGAGGCTTCATGTCAGCCTCCTGAATCACCCTGAAGGTCTGTGTCAGTGGCCCATTGTGAGGGGAAGCAGTGCTCATGACACACAGTTGTTGTAAAGATGGCTTATTCTTGGACCTATATACCAAACTGTCGTCCTCTGTGTACCTCTCTCCATACAGAGTCTGTTTGATTTTGCGGACTCCTAAGTGGACAATCTCCAGAATGTTCAAGAACAATGACACTCCAGCAATGATGATCATAAAAAACATGAAGATGGTCTTTTCTGTGGGCCTGGAGATGTAGCAGTCTACACTGTTGGGGCAGGGCAGCCTCTCACACCTATAAAGGGGCTCCAGATGGATTCCATACAGGATACACTGGCCCAGGATGAAGCAAACCTCCACCAGAGAGCGAGTAAGGATATGGATGATGTAAGTTCTCAGCAAAGAACCTTTGAGAGGGGCCTTCTTCACCTTCCTCTGCTCTTCCAGTCTCCTCAGTTCCCTCTCTATGCGTTTATGATCCTCCAGTCCTAACTCAGCCTCCTCCATCTCCCCCTTCAGCTGGATCCGTCGGCGGTGGCGCTCCTTCTCCAGTGCTCTGATGCAGTACAGAGCGTGGCCCATGTAGACCAGCGAGGGTGCAGATACAAAGATGACCTGCAGCACCCAGTAGCGAATGAGGGAAATGGGGAAGGCCTGGTCGTAGCAGACCACCTTGCAGCCCGGTTGGTCTGTGTTGCAAACAAATTCTGACTGCTCATCATCCCAGACGTCCTCAGCTGCAGCTCCCAAAATCAGCATGCGGAAGATGAAGAGGATAGTGAGCCAGATTTTGCCAACGATGGTGGAATGAATATGGACCTCTTCTAGGATGCTGCCCAGCAGGTTCCAGTCACCCATGGTCAGTTTTTCAACTCTTTAATGCCACATGCTTAAACTGGGGACACAAAAGTAAAGCTCATTAGAACTCAATAGAGGATTAGAACATTTTTGTTCAAACTGTTTTAAGAATTAATTTTTGATTTCTCAGAAGAATTGTCCAAATCCATGATTAAGAGTGATGGATTTAGACAGATGGTAAAGAGATAAAGCTGGTTTAAGAAAGAATCCAGAGAGGTCAGGTGTTTATTAACACATGAAGGCAAACGATATGGTGAATCTAAATATTATTTTGCTGATTATTATTCCTGATTTGTCAAGTTTAGATGTGTGTATGGGGAACTTATTCAGAAGAGCTCAGATTTTTGTTAAAAACAAAAAATAGTTGTAACCTAATTTGATGTTGTATTTATTTCAGTACTTATTCACTTTCCAGGCAACTTATTTATGTTATTTTATATTATAATTGAAAATAATGAAATGCAGGAGAATTAAATGTTAAAGTTAAGGAAATCAAATAAATATTTTTTATTTTATAATCAGCTGTAATTTCTGTTTTTGGATAATAACACGTTTTTTACTCATGGTATGAAAAAATGGCCAAGGGGGTACACAAGTCAAAAAAGGTTGTGAACCAGTGCTTTAAAAGATGCACCAGTGAGAAATTATATGACATATGTGTTTATGTTAAAAAATGTTAAAAATGTTGAAAAAAAACAAAACATTTTTTTTTTACACTTTTACTCTTGTGTGTACAAAATAACAAATAAAGTCTGTCTCTAAATCTAACAAATTAACAAATACCCCATGGGGAACCCTCTTCCAAAACATGGAAATAAACATTTCTTATTAGTATCAGCCCAGTTTAACATATGAGTCCAATAGAGATATATTGAAAAGTTACTGACATAAAAATATAAATGCATATATTACCAATTGTTATGCTGATATACTGTGCATCCTTGCATCCTGAGAGAGATGCCAGTTCTACTTTTAATTAAAAACAAATTTCTCAGAGGAACTGTTGATGCTTGTAGACTAAACTCTACATTACAGAAATGGAGAGAAATATGAAGTATAACATCAGGAATAAAGGTAAAAACAAAGGTGCTGTAGGTTTGATCAGTCTTTGGGAGCATCTCAATCTTTTTTTTTTTAAAGTGAATTCTGGCAAGAGTCAACCATGTGCATATAACTTAAAAATCAGTGCTGCTAAATAAATAGCCCATCATCTGCACTGTTGATGGCTGGTTTGGCACCACATAAGAAAGCAGTGCCATCACAGAAAAAAGGCGACCACTTTGAACAGCACAGGTATTGATCTGCAGTGACCTTCCCTTTAAGGCCACCACAGGATACAAACCATGTCAGTCAAATTTCTCTCGCAGAGTCCATCACGGTTAGTTTACCAGGACTTTTCTGTGGGTCTCCTGGGTTCAAGTTTTCTAAAGGAATCTTTGTAACACAGTCAGAATCCAAATGCAATTCCTTCTCAAATTCTACTGTTAAAAACATAGAATTCAATGCATTTTACATTGAATAGTTTTTAATCGGACAAAACAATGTACTGTACAATTGCAAAGTGGAAGAAAGACAATAGGCAGTTTTCAATATATGGGGTGCAGACACTTGTTTGTTACAAGGTTTTGGGAATATTACCAGTAGATTTGCACACCTAGAGACATCTACAGAAATCTTTTCTCATTCCCCTCAGCAAAATAGTTTTAGTTCATTCAGACAAGCATGATTTATTGATAAAATACCTTTCACAAAAACAGTGTCAAAATGAAAATACAATCCAAATGGGATTCAAGAGACACAAATACTTTCAACATAATTTCTTCAAAAGGTTCTCAAGAGAAACATGCTGTAATAAAATCTTCTGGTTTTAAAACACATCTAAACTCTAAATGTGTAAAAAAAAAAAAAGAAAAAAAAAAAAAAGAAATCTTAATCCAAAGTAGACCAGCTTGCAAATTATATTATTTTTTTACCTGGAATTTGGGGATATCAGTAAGGGCTTGAGTCGGAGTATGTGGTTTTAACAACTCACTAATATAGGAAGTATCTTGACTGGCAAGTCATTGAAGGTTAAATTAAGTTGGAAATCAGTGCAAAGAATAAAATGATTGATGTTAGCTCCTCTGGTTGTTGCAGTAAAGAGTCTTGCTGCAGAGTTTTGGTATAACTGAAGGTTTTAGGCGATATGTTTTGGTTAATTCTTTATAGGGCGCTCAGTGAAATACTTTGAAAATCAAAATGCCAAAACAATGTTGTTATTGGAATCCAGGAAAGGACCTTAGTACCTTTGTAACATTCAAAAAATATGTATATTTCGATGGCAAAAACTGATGTCCATGTAAAAACAAGAAAGTTGCCTGAACATATTAAGAAAAATAACAAAAGTGCTTCAATAAGGAATTCATAAAAAATACTCTGAGAGTGAAAGAAACACATTTTTTATGGTCCAACATAACCTTAGAGGTATTAATGCTGATACTGGCACTTACTTTTTTTTGTCTATAAACCTAAATAAAATTGTTAACTAGGCTTATTAACTTTTTAACTTCACTTTCAAATTCTTCAATTAGCTTTTTACCTTTTTTTAAACTTAATTTCCAGTAGGTAATATATCATTCAAGGGCTCATCTAATTGGTCAAACGCCAAAATAAGATAAACAGCCATGTAGCAGTATCTGGATATAGATCTTGTACTTCTAGACCTCACTGAGGGACGGGGGTAACTCAATTTGCAAGTGATCAAAAACGGTAACTTGCCCTATAAAGGGTTAATCATTAAAATTCCAACAATATGCAACAACATCTATCCATCTTCTCATTCTTAGTCCTTATCAGGGTCACGGTGGGGCTGGTGCATATCTCCGGTAGTTTATGGGCGAGAAGTGGTGTAGACCCTGGACAGGTGGCCAGTCTGTCGAAGGGCAAGACAGAGACACACAAAGACACACAACCATTCACGCACACACTAAGACCTAAGGATAATTTAGAGAAGCCAATTAAACTAACAGACATGTATTTGGACTGTGGGACGAAGCCGGAGTACCCGGAGAGAACCCACGCATGCACAGGGAGAACATGCTAACTCCAGAAAGACCTCGTGCCAGGAATGGAACCCGGAACCTTCTTCCAGCAAGTCAACAGTGCTACCTACTGCACCACTTTGCAGCCCCTATATGACAAAATGTAGTTGTAAAAAGACAAAATGTAAAAGATGTAATTTTGTATGCTGTGTAACATAGCTTTAAAAGAGGCACATCTCGCTGTCTCCACAGTTGGTTTTATAACTTCTGCAAACTGTCAACACAGATTTAAAACCTCTAACCCTTTAGGTTTTTTCTGTTAGGAAGTGGTTTAAGCAGTCCCATCAGATATTACAAGACTAATTTGACGACACAGATTGAATTAAAAAAAATGTGGAAATGGACCTGAATGAGCTTGCTGAAACTCTTACTTCTTTAATCAGTTTTGTGAGAACATCAATGGGGAGTCAGGTAAAAAAACAAACTAACCAAGAAGCAGCTGAAGAAACTAAAGCAAGAGGCATCATTGATGACACAGCATGAGTTTGTATCACCTAGTACAGAATCCAGACCGACTAAACAGCTTCAATAGTTTAAATAGTTTTAAAAAATCAGCTAATCATTCCACACCAACTCTGTGAAAAAAATTTAATCTAAATAGGTATTTTTTTTTTAAAATAAGTAAATTTTTCTTAGAATTGTGGAGGCAAGTGAGACACTTTGCCAATGGAACAAGACAATTTAAATTTAAAATAAGAAAAAAACATGGCAGTGGCTTATTTACAGCGTGTATTATCTAATTATATTATTGTAAGAGTAAAACTACTCATTCCATTGGCACATCCTCAATTAATTTCAGCAATTTGTACTTGTTTCTAGATTGCAGTAAACTTGTCTGCTTCTCATTTGAATACCAAACCCCCATGCAGCAACCTCCCCTCAGACCTATAATTTCAAATCTCAGAAGAAGATGTTAACAGGCTCTTTCAGCATCAGAAGGACAGGAAAGCTTCAGGACCTGATGATACTTAAGAAATTAAACTGGCTAATATCTTCAGATCTTCAATACATCTCTGGAGCTCTGTTGCGATCTCTTGTGCTTCATTCTCTCCACTGTAATCCCCAGGAACAAACTGTGGCAGGAATAAATTACTACAAGCCTGTTGCTCTTACATCTGTGTTCTTGAAATCCTTTGAATGATTTTTGTTGAATCAGCTAAAGAGCATCACAGCCCTACTTCTGCACCTATACAGCTTGCTTACCTGACAAACAGGTTTATATATATATATATATATATATATATATATATATATATATATATATATATATATATTTATATATATATATATATATATATATATATATATATATATATATAGTCAGCTATGACCTGAACTTCCTGGACCAAGGATCCTGTGTTTGAACTTCTGCTTGGCTTTCAAACCAACCAAGAGACCTTCAACCTGATGCTGACCCTCCTCACACTGCCGGCCTCCACCTGTCTGCGAATCACCGGCTTCCTTAATGGCAACAATAAAGTTCCTTTCAAACTCCCCTCTGAAGACAAAACACTTCCCTTCTGCAGAGCTGCCTGCACAGTACAGTATTTTATTTATTTATTTATTTTTTAGCACTTCACTATTATGTTATTCTTATACACTTGTATAAGGTTCTTATTTGTGTGACAATTTTTTTAAATAATCTTTTTGCTACTGTAACACCAGAATTTCCCCATTGTGGGACAATAAATGGATTTTCTATTCTATTCTATTCTATTTTATTCTTTTCTTTTCTCTTCTCCTCTATTCTATTCTAATTTACTGAATTATGCATGACACCACTATTATTGGTATGATCCATAACAGCTTCAAATCTGCATGCTGACATACAGGAGTTGGATCAGCTGGTATCTACCAAAGACCTTTGGTTGTCAGTCTGTGGTTAGCTCAGATCCAGGAGCAAAATGAGGTTTAGAGATAAGGCTGAGGTAAAAGTGTCAACGTAAATTTCCAGTGAGGGAAAGAAATTCAACAGAGCACTCAGCTTTGTACTGCTGTCAAGCTGTACATTATATAATCTTCTGCTGCTCACCTTAAACCACAATATCGTAGGGTCTAATCTAAATCAAGCTCTGGAGAGTAACATCAGTGCACAGAAGCTCCTCATTAGCAAAGAAAAGATGGAAAACTTCAACTTTAACCATTAAGTTTGGTTTACAGCAACAAGGGCATGTTTCTCTCTGCAAATCTGATTTGCCTTGTCTTTAAAGAAGTTATCATTTTAAGTTGTGAAAATAAGAGCTGCATCTTAATTCATAGATATAAAAGACAAAAGCAATAAAAAAACAACAAGAACCTAAAATTACATTCTGAAAAAAAGCAGGTGCACAAAAAACAACAATAAAGAATGGGCCTTTTCTAAACTCTATGTCTATTTCTTTATTTTGAAGTTTAAGGCTTGCAGGTTTTGAGGTTTGTTGTCTGTCTCTGGTTTGTTTGTACAAAAAGGATTTTAGGAATTGCTCCATTCCTTTGCTTTTACCCTCGGGGCTACTGTAGTATGAGCTTTGTTTGGACACTGGATGACACCAGGGCGATGGTTGAACTAGGATGTTGCATTTTTTGGAGGAAAACATAAAAAAATGCAGAAAAAAGGACAGGAATTTGATCTTTAAAGTGCACATTGTTAAAGTTTCTCTACTCGTTAAATGATATAATAACATGCTGACATCACAATGACACAAACATGCAAACACCAGCTTACATCTCACAGTTCCTCGGTCCTTCTGGGCCTTCATGTGTGGAGGATTCAATTGGTAATTCCAAGGAGAACACTTACTGGGGATGCTTCTACCCCATGGGGCTGCTTGGTTGTCCCTCGACGTTAATCCTGTGTGGTGATGCCGTTCTCTCTGCCGTGCATCTGCCTGTCTGTGTGTTGGGAACGCTCTGCTGTGTTTCATGCAAGGTTCACAGGATGTGAGCATTGATCAGCTCCTGCCGGGACACTGCCCCCACCCCGCTCTTTGCTCCCATGTCAGGAGTGCCAACTCCAATCCGGCCTATCAATACAGGCCTTGGAGACTAAAAGGGATATTTTTCACTCACATATCTATGATCACAGTCTAATAAACAAGCTGAGGGGGACACTAACTTCAACCACTTGGAGCTTAATTACAGTTTATTACTTAGCTTTAACTGTACCAAGTATAGATAAGGAACTCACCTCCCATTTGAACGAGTTGAATGGTGAGATGTAAATGGTCTGCATTTAATTAAAATCTGAGAGATTAATTAATTGCATCTTCTTAGAAGAAATGTTTACACAATGATCAGCCAAAGCAGGTTAGATTCTATCTGCAAAGGAGATTAACTGGGCATTGAATAAACATTTTGTGGAGAATTAGGACCTAAAAAGGTGATTGAACTAAGATAAACATAGCCTTGATGTGTTTTCATCATAAATAAAGATTAATTGGAAAATAAGAGACAATTTAAAGGGTTTCAAGTGACACTGCATTAAATACTTGGACAGACAATGATTAATGATGGCTTCTCCACTCCAGCCAACCGTAACGATGATCAACATGCTCCTGAAATCCCATGATGAGCTCAGATTGAACCTTGCATCCCGCTGTGTGATGAGCCCTCCATCACTGTACAGCCACATGTTTCAGCTTGGTCTGCATGATACAACCAGCTGTGCCTTGAGGCCCTATAATTAGATTTCCATCGCCTGCTGCCCCCCATAGTCGATGGAGCATTGACTTGATTTTCCCTCCAGAAGCTGCAATGTGGTCGCTGAGGCCCGACGCTAGATGTCACACCAGGATCATTGGGTTACACAACCAGAGACCCGCCCACTATACGCAAACCCCACCCTTATAACTTACACCCCTGAGGAAAATACATTTGGATCATACACTGTGACTCATGCTTAAAGCTTTCATATTTGGTTTCCAATAAAGTCTGGGACATTTTCTGCTATTCTTACAATTCTATTAAAATATGTTAAATTGAGAAAATGAGATGTGCATTTATTTAAAAAAAAATTAACTGTCATTTTTTTCTGTAAAACGTGTTTGTCTCTTTTGATCCATATAGGATGTTATGTTTAATGCCGCTTGGAAATTTCAGACACAGAGTTGTGAATTCTCAGTCCAAGTTAACCTTTCTTCTATAAATACTGTTGGATGGGCACCATGAATACTTTATTTTATTAACTTAAGTCTGTAGACAAACAAGATGACATCAAGATATCTCTGTTTAGCCCTGTGATAGACTGGCGACCTGTCCAGGTGACCATAGACTGCTGGAGGTAGGCAAAAGCGCCACAGTGACCCTGAAGGATAAGTGGAAGAAGATGGATGGATGGAATTGAACATGACATCCATTGTTACTCTGGCCACATTGTTTTATTTGTACAGCAGGGTGCACACATGAAAATGTCTTCCTGACCCACCAACCCTTGATTCAGATAGTGTTGTCTTCACAGAATAAAATAGTAACCCAGCCACGGATGAGTTTTGGTCCAGGAAAAACAAAACAAAATAAAAAATAAAATATATTTTCTGTAACATATCAGAATGGCACAATAATTAACAGGATGAATTAATGAAATCGGAAGATTCAAAATCTGAAGGTGGCTTGAAATACACTTTAACATCAAATCCCTATATCCATAATCATTAAACATCACAGCATGGAGAGCATTTATCATCAAACATTCAGCTGTTGGCTCAAGCTACTATTAAAAAAAATTATAACACAATGAAACATTCATATTTTTAAACAGATGAACACTTAGAGTTCCTGAAATCTTAAAAATGACATCAACAGCAAGACTGGAACAATTTGCAACATTTCTACTCACAGGTGAAAAAGTGGATGAGATTAAATGTATCAGGTCATGTGGTCAAGTAGAGGACCCAAATGCAGAGACGGAAGCCAAAGTGGTTTCTTGCAGATTGTATAACCAATGGTGCAACTGAAGCACAAATCCTAACATAACTCATTACAGAACACAGGAACCAGAACAAAGGATTAGAACAAAGGTCAAGGAGGGAATGTTTAATGAAGAGAATCCAGCACTGAGTAACTGCAAAGGAGGAGTATAAATGACAAACAGAACAAAGAGTCGAGTAGTCAAATGATTGGGAGCAGGTGTTGACAGAAGGAGCTAGAAGGGAGCCAGGGGAAATGAGACTGGCACAAGACGGCAACAGAGAGTATACAATAAATACATAACACAAATAAAACCAGAAAACAACTAGAATGACAAAAAATGGAAATTAAACCAGTGACCTAGAAAACACAGAAAGACATGAATCAAAGTGTAACTGAAAACTCAAAACGAAAACTTAAACAGAACCAAAAACTGCAGAATCACAAAAAAGTGTGATGCAAAAAAAGTTATTTATAAGAACTTTAAGTTAGGAAAAGGATAAAATATTCTATGAAGTTGAAATGTTTGTTTCAACTTCATAGATAGGTCCAGTAACATCTATAACGATCAGCTTTTAATCAGGAACTAATTTTTCTGACAATAAAATCCAACAGAACATAAAGATGTCCAAAAAACAAAAACTTAAAGTCAGCTGTTTATTTTAAACCTGTAACCGACCATCTGCATCAGCAAGCTTCAGTTCTCAAGGTGGTTTCTTTTATTTTAGAAGGTCCTCTTTCTCTTCATTGGTCTGCAGCCTATGAAGCTCCTCCTCCAGCTCTGTGATTCGCTGCAGCATCTCTGTCCTCTCCTCCCGGGACCTGAGCTCTGACTGCCACTCCACCTCCATGATCTTCCTGGAACACCAGAGTTCCAGCTGAGCTGTGACAGCATCAAAGAACCGCCGAGTCACCTGCAGTCAGACTACATTAAGTGGCAGAGAGTCTGGCAAAAGTTTTTATAGCCTGGAACATCTGGCTCTATATTATATTATTTTGCATTCTAGAATGTGTTTTTCTAAGTTAAGCAAAACTATCTAAACAATGCATTTTAAAGTAGGAAAGTTATGTCAATCTTTTTCTGAAGCCCTGGCCATACCTATGAAGACATGTTTACCAACCGAAACTGAACAAAATTCGATGTATTTTGGGAAAATTACACTGGCAGCATAATGCTGTGGTGATGCTTTTCTTATGCAAAGAAAATTAAGCTGATAAGTGATGTCAGGAAGATGGAAGGAGTTAATGGTTTTGTCAATTTCCAGCAGGACAACCCAGGACAAACTGTGAGAAAAACAAAACAAAAGAGCTCCAATGGTTCCCAATCCTGGTTCTGAAGGCCCATAATTTGTCATGTTTTAGATATGGCTCTGCTCCAACACAGATGGATTAGATAATTATATTATCTCCTCAGCATGTCATCAACTGCTGTTGAAACTCGTTAATGACCAGTTTATTTAATTACGTTTTTTGCCTGCTGGAGAACAGCAGAAACTTGCAGGACAATGGGGCATCGTGAACAGAAATAAGAACCACTGCACTAACCACAAATATATGGATTTAAACCAAAATCATGTATGAATGTCTCAATCAAAATGTATATTAAGTTTTAATTGGACTTGAAGCTTATATTAACAAATTAATGTCTATCTATTTTGACTGAGCTTGAGCTACAATGAACAGTGAAAATAGCAAGTAATTCAGGTTATAGATTGTATAAACTGGTAGTTACATGCATGCAGCTGCTGTTAAAGCTGGTTTAACAAAGCATCCAGTGATAATAATAATAATAGCGAATGCCTTTCCTCCTACTTAATGTTCTAAGGACTAAAGAGTCCCAGATGACTGAGCCAAAGTGAGTAGCCTAACCTCCATGGCGTGGATCTGTTTCCTCTCCTGGATCAAAGTGGGCTCTGCAGGTCGCTCCATCAGGAGCTCCTGAACCATTGTGTCATCGGTGGGCCTGGATGCCTCTTCCTGAGGGTTGGTCCTTGGATGACCACTGGAAGGTTTCTCTTTGAAAAATGAGTCAGTATTGTCATGCAGTGCTGCAGAGTTGCAGAAGGGGGCAGCAGAGACTGTGGGGAGGTCAGCTGAGGTTTCTGAGTTTAGGTTCTGATCTGCTGCTAAGGAAAAGTTTTTTCAACTCAGATATTTTTTCAGAAAACTATTGAAAACGTTTTATTTTCTGCTGTTTATCCTTACGTACCCACACACTTGTCCTTCTTCATCTCGAAGTAGGTCCTGTTCCCAATCTGCTCAGCTGATTTTGAAATCTCAGAACATCTGGGTCTTAAGTTGCTTCTGGACACAGTGGGGCTGCTGTCTTCAGAAAACAGCAGAGGCACTGACTCCAGGTCACTTTCTGCAGCAGATGGAGGCGGCAGCAGCAGGTTCTGGTACTGGATCTCAGCTGGCACTGGGATGTTCATGTACTCCAGCAGAGACAGACACCAGGTCTTCAGCTCATTTCTCAGAACAGCCTGTAGATGGAGCAAAGAGCTGCTTAACACCATCACGTCCAACAGGTTAGGTGATGGACTCAGTCAGTGATTTTACCTGGTTCCTCAGAGCTTCTGCTCGCTCCTCTGCTGCTCTCTGATCCATCCTGCATATCATGCTCCTCCTTTCAGATGCTGCTTTCTCCTGGATCAACATGTCCAACACCCTAAGCTATTCAAATAAACAATGAGGATGGATATTTACCATACCTGCAATAATTTCTTCAGACATGGATTTTGATCAATCTGATAAATGATCTGAAGCTCAGAGGCTGACCTGGTGTTTGTTATGTCGCTCCACCCTTTCCATCTGTCTTTGAAGCTCCTCCTTGACTTTCTGGATCTGCAACCTTAGCTCCTCCTCTGTGGTCTTCAGATTATCCCCCAGCTTCTTCAAAAGAGACTTACAGAGGCAGCAGCTTGCAGGAGTCTTAGAAGAAACAGATATCTACAGAATCTTCTGCTGAGGATAATATGTGTTTTCAAACTTTTCAGGATAAATGAGAATGAACCAACCTGTTGAACTCTACCTTCCGTGTCTCTGTATAGAGTGTAAAGTTGCAAGGTTTCTCCACAGCCCCAGAACTCATCTTCCTGCACTTGGTTGTGTTTCCTTTCTGAACGGAGGTCTTCCTTATTCAGATCCTGTATGATGTCAAAGTATCTGGATTTTATTACTCACCATTATCAGGGTTAGGCAGTAGTTAGGGTTAGAAGGCACGCTGATGTTCAGGATTTTAATAAATTGGTTTTATCTAGCAGTTTAGAGTCAATTAAAAGCATAAAAGTCCACAGTCTAGAGTCAAGATGTGCAAGTTTTGAGCCCAGTCTTAGATCTTAAACTGAGATTTTTTAGTGTGTTAACAGGTAAATTATGCAATAATATTTATTTCAAAAGATAATTAAGGCATTTTACAGTTGTTATCATTTGGCTAACCAAGGAGGTAGAAATTAACTTAAAAATTGACAACATTGTATTTCTCTATCATATTTTTGCCCTTGTGTACATTTTAATTTTGTTATTTATAGAGAGTCACTGGTTATTTATGTAGCTTCAGTTTTTTCAAAAATATATCGTCTTCGTAAAAAATGTCTTATCATATTGTTTTACTTTGGACTAGGTATTTTTGAAAATATTCTCACAAAAAGCAACATTTCTGTTCATGCATGTTAAAAGACTCATCCATTGACGAGGTATTGGTCACTGGTTTTTATCCTTATTAGAGGACCTGTAAAAATTCAAGAAAGTAGGATACAGTGACCTTTAAGTAAATGCTTAGTTGATAATAGTCCAATCTGGTTTAAGTCCAAGTCATCTACAGTAACTCCAGTGTGAGTTGAATCCAGGTCATATGGTTCCAGTCTGACTTAAGTATGTTTTAAATATTTTGGCTCCATTCTGAATCGTCCAAGTCATGTGACTCTAATTTCATTAGCGTTCACTTTGTAGACTAAGGTCCGCCCTCTGATTGAACCTGGTTCACATCATGACTCACCTTACCATCTGATCTGGGGTCAGTTTGCTCCATCCCACAGCTGCTGTCCTGGACACAGTAAACCAGAATAAAAACTGAAGCTTATCTACTATATCTGCTGCTGCTCTCCAACTTTCTGGATTCTTACTTTAGCAGGTCCTGTAGGAACTCTTAGTCTGGGTCTCTTCATCGTCTTTCTCCTCATATAACGTACCTGAAGACAGGAACATTTCCTATAGTCAGATTTTTTTTTGCTCAAGGAGAAAACTGAAATGGATTGACAAATTTGCTTTATTGCCAAGTTACTAAACCTGAGGAGTTTTGGAGAGCAGGAGAACCACCTTTTTGTTCTGGTTTTCTCTGGCTTTGTCCAGAGCTGTTTTTCCTGCCTTAAGGAGGAAACATGTCAGTCAAAAAACATAACAGCTTGCAGATTCTGATATAAATTTCTCTGGATTGCTCAGAGCAGGTAGGTACTTACTTTGTTCCGGACTGTTACATCAAGACCGGCTGACAGTAAAAGTTGAACTGCTTTACTGTGGTTCAGAGATGCAGCTATGTGCAGAGCTGTGTCTCCATTCTGTAGTCAAACAAAATCAGTACCTGAGTCAGAGTCAGTGCAACATCAGAAACATGTTCAGAGTCAAGTTCAGAGACCAGAATTAGACCCAGGAAAAATTAGAGAGAGGGTTAAAAACCACAATAGGTCAGAGTACATAATATGAAAGCTGGATCTGTTGGGATCCAGAGGCTTGCCCACCAGAGGGCGCCGAGGATCCCTTCCTGATGGTTTGTTCTTCTGTTGGGATCTGGGGTGCTGTCTACCTTCCTCCACCAGAGGGCGCATTGGATCTCCTAAAGCTGGAGCTGACTTCACCAGCTGCTTCTCATCTGCTCATCAGGGGACCAGTACTTAAGTGGGCTGTGGACAACACTCCGGTGCCAGAGTGTTTAGTCAGTCACGGTACAGCAACCCTGAGCCAACCAGCCTGTCTGATTCTCTGACTCCCCTGAAACCAGAACCTGAACCTAATCAGTTTTTTTGTCTTCTCTGCTTCTTAGGAGGAAACCTGACTGAACCCTGGAACTCTGGAAGAGTTTCTCTGCTGAAATCTGCCTGCCGGCCCTCAGGAGGTCATCTGAAGAATCTAACTGTCTGAACCTGCCTGCCCGCCCTCAAGAAGAGGATCGGAAGAAACTCTGGATCAGAACACTGATAAGTCTGAAGTCGAGCCCTGCCGTTGCTCAGCCCTCAGCCTGCCGTCTGCCTCTAAACCCAAACCTGGAGATCTACAAGCCCCAGCCTAGCCAAGCCTCCTCCGAGCCCTCAGTCTGCCGTCAGCCTCTGAACCCTCCTGGTTCCCCCTTCTGCCTGCTCAGCTCAAAACCTCTGAACAGAGAAACCAGTCGAGACCAGCCCCTGGACCTGATTACCCCCCCCGATCTGTTTATTCTCTTTATCCAATAAACCTTTGAACTTTTTCCCCATTTTCCGAGTGTGTGTTCTGCATGTGGGCTAGCATCCAGAAACCCATCATGACAGGATCAGGCTACAGAATCTGCACCAATACCAGAACCAGTTTCAAAGTCAAACATAAGAATTGTGACAAGGGTGAGGAACCAGGGTAAAAAGAATGATCAGAGTCAGAGACCAGATTTAAAACTATGCTGCTCAATGTGAGTGATCACAATGTGTGACAGGTTATTTCTTATTTAGAAACAAACCAAAAAGAAAAACAGGAAAGTCTTGAAAGTCTCCTCAAACTTTCTCTATGGAATAGAGGTTTAAGGTTGTATCCATTACTGTACCACAGAGACACCAGAACTCTAATGTGAGAACTCATCCTACAGAACAACTTGGACACATGGCAACAACTATCGGCTTGATAAAATTTACTTCAAATGATACCTGCCCTGAGTTTTGCATATTTTTGAATTGTCATTAAATTTCTAAAACAGTGGTGTCCAAATTCAGTCTAAAGAACTGCTCTCTGTCATGTTGAAAATTGCATCTCAAGAAAGAAAAACAGCGACACTGGAATACAAAGCTAAGTTGAGGCCAAAAGTAACAAGTAACTAGCAGCTTCCTCGAAATGGAGTAGAGTAGAAAGTTATTGTTAGGTTTATTCAATGATGATTATAAAATTAATGTGTGCTTATGAAACATTTTTGCGAGGGGATGCTCCACTCCTGTCTCATGATTCAGTCAGGAGACCATCCTGCCTTGTCATTCTGATGGAGCATTCTGTCTTCATGAACTTATCAATTGTTCTGTCAGAACAATACTCTGTTTGTAACCATGTGTCATGTTCTGTCATGCTCTGCATAGGAGGTCCAGTGAGAGAGTCTGGGGTTCAACTGTCTCTGAATTGTATCCATAATTGTGTATTTCAGTTCTTCTTTTGCAAAAACCTACATTTTATGATCCCCCCCAAAAAAACAAAACAAAACAAAAGTACTCCGGTAAAGGAAAGATACTAAAAATAAGTACTTAAGTACAGTAATCAAGTAAATGTACTTTGTTACTTTCAACCACTGGGTATTGCCAATCTGCACCGATTCATCTAGATCTAGCCAAGAAGAGTCAGTAGTTTTTGAAAGATCTGAAGGGTGAGATTGGGGAAGAGGTTAATTATTCCATTGTTTTGCCAAAGTTCTCTCTCAAAATCTGTTGTCAATGTGAAATTAAAGGGAGATTAGTTCCTGTAGAGTTTTAGACTTCTCTCTGCACACTAACTCATCCTTAATACTTTCATCCAAGGCTGAAGAAAAGCTCCTTTTAACGCTTCAGGGTTCCAGGCTTAAGAGGCAGCTAGTTCGTATGGGAAAGTCTGATACTTACTGGTTACCCTGTTTTATATTCCGCATCTTACAGCAAATGTCAGAAACTGACTTAGTATATATCTGTGACTCAGTATATCCGAAGGTCTGTTAAACTCATAGATAAACTGGTCAAGGAACATTTGGAATTGAAACTCGCCTGGTTGGTCTCATTCAAGCAGCACTGTGATCTCAGCAGGATCTTCAGCAGGTTCAGGTTGTTGTAACGAGCAGCTACATGCAGACAGGTATCACCCACCTGAAGCAGGAGCATAGGTTCTGTTTTCCTGAGACTGGAATATCGGCGAAATGTTTACAGATCCTCTTCCCACACCTTGTTTTTGGCTTCAGGATTTGAGCCTGCAAGCAGAAGAAGCTGAGCGGTGGGAGCATGTGCGTTTTGACAGGCCAGGTGAAGCGCCGTGTTTCCTGCCTGAAACATTCAGAACACAATGAAATGAGGGCCCCAGGGGATCTTTCCAGTCCCTGCTCAAAGTGGTGATCAGAAATCACTTCAGAGTTGGTCTGACAGGCTGGGCTAAGTAACTGGGATAAGTGAGAAAGATTGGTGGGTTTATTTCTGTCAGAACAAACTCCTGCTGATTGTCAGGTTAATTTAAGAACTACCGAAAAGTATAGTTTCTCTGCAGATCCAATCAGAGGGCAATCTTTAAGAGGAGAATGTCACAGTTTTAAAGGTCTGACTTTACTTAGTATAAACATTAGGACACAATCAGTGTTTGGATTTGAGTCGTGATGGGAAAACCACTTCTGTCAGGGGTATCATTTCAATACATTTAAGACAAACAGGTTATTTTCTAAACTCTGATTAAAGTTATATTCTCCATGCTGACACATTCTCCAGCTTTTTCCTCTACCAACAGCAGAAATTTAGTTTTTCATTGTTGTAAAAATCTCAGTCGAAGATTTTTTCTCCGCTCTGATATTGAGAACAACAGCTGAGACAAGCTTTTCCTCTGATTACCTTGTTCTTGACTTGCATGTCAGCTCCGGCCTTAACGAGCAGTTTGACGCACTGTGTGAATCCATGCCAGGACACCTCATGGAGTGCTGTGTTTCCAAGCTCAAACACACAGAACGTTGCAGTCAGAATAAAGAAACGTGATCAGTAGATCTACACACCGTTAATAAGAACTTACTGGATCCTGCAGGTCCAGAGCACAGCCTCCAGCTATCAGACCAGCCATGGTCTCACTGTTTCCTAAGATGGCACTACGGTGAAGTGCTGTCTGATGCCCAGAGACCTGAAGGAGAAAGAGAAGTATAAAACAGACCCTCATCACCAAGCACTAGTTATCTTTAAATCCAGCCTGATGCATTTCAATGATTTCACGTTATACAACTCTTGTCTCTGGAGACTAAATGTTTCCAAAAGTGTGTCTTCATACAATTTTAATGACTTTCATTTTGACTGGATAAATGGATGGTTCAGCTTCTTGTCAAAAATGTTCTTATCCATCTCTTCACCTTCTATAATCAGTTATGTTTGGATTTTAAATGATGCACATTTTGAAGACTTTTATTGCTCAAAGGGCTATTTATCTTGGAAGACTTTGACACCTGTAAAGTTACAAAGCTAAGAATTTAAAGACATTCACTCCATCACAGCTTTACCCCTTAACATTTGCATAACTGTGCACCGTCACACCTGCCCTAATGTCTACCTTAACTACTGCAGTTCTGCACATCTGTTAACCTGGATATATACACCTGAACCTGGATATAAGCTAACCTGAACATTTGTATAACCACTCACCTATACTGATATAGACCTTAAAACATGTGCAACTGGATACTAGTAAATTTTCAGACGTTTATGCACCCTTGTACAACTACATTTGTGTGACACTTCACACCTGCAGACTTTTGCATATCTAAAGTGCTACAACATTCTACCTGCAAAAAAAACTGTACACCTGCAAAGCTGTGACTCATTACAGAATTACTTCTGTACACAACACCTACATCTGTATTTCATGCCTAAACCCCTGACACTATCCTCCTCACTACTGTAAAGCTGTATACATTACCTGCACAATTTGACTTTCTCACCTCTACACCTGCACTGCACTTCTTCTGTAACTGCACACTTTGACATATTCAAACCTAAATTCATGTATCTGTAAAACCTGAACAGATGCACATGTACACAAACTAAACCTGCACCTAACATTCTGCACACATTTACAGCGGACTTATCACGCATGGTCTAGCTTGCACACCTGTACTCCAATACTTTTGGAGAGCCACGCATCTGCCAATTTAAAGACCTGCACATTTTTTAAAGGTTGCAAAATATACTTCTGCACCATTGCTACCCTTTTAGATATAATTATTAATTCTTTAATTCATTCAATTAATTAATCAATTCAGCAATTCCTTCATTTATTTATACTGTACATGTACCCCTGTACATTTGTACAGCTGCATAGTTGCATACCTGCACACGTACATCTCTCCATCTCTGCATTTTGTCATGTATTTATTAACCCCTTCAAACCTGGACACATACTTATATCTGTATGTACTATTACAAACAGATACTGCTAAACATATATGCAGAAACTGGTTAACATCCTTTACCTTAAATTGAATAGCTTCACCATCTCCAGACCTACAGAGGTCTTTCATGACTGATGGGTCTTCTACTTCCTGTAGCCATAGAAACAAAGTCTTTAAGTCAGGTGGATTTGTACGATGCAGTTTTCTGAAGCCTCTGCATTTTTTGTGTTTTTAATATGTGACTAACTGGGTTTAAGCCATCCAATAGAAGACCTCACCTCGGCTGAACTGAGTGTACACACCAAGTTTTCCATGTCTGAAGATCCAATAGTGTTTCTCCTGCAGAACGCTGCCATTGAGCTGCTCCAGCTGCAGGAGGTAGAAAAGGAAGTGATCTCAGGGAGCTAGTTTAGCTCAGTGTCATGGACCAACCAAAGAGTATTAAAAAGTGAAGAAGTAAGACATGTTTAAAAGCCCTTTCTATATTAGTCTGTGCGTCATGCTCTAGGCTTATGGTCAAACAGCCGCAACATAACGTTATTGTACTGCCTGGGTTTATGATGTTAGAATCTTTTAATGTTCCCCTTTACATGATGATATAAAGGATTTCAGATCTGATGGTCGGAATGAGTCTTTAATCCTAAACATGGTTTCAAACGAGTAATCGCTTTCTTGTCTCTCTGTTATCTGTATTTCATTATCTCCCTGCAGTTTTCTGAATTACTTTTCATAGTTATTTAATTATTATACTTCTTGGATTGACAATACAAAGAAGAACAGACAAAAAGACAAAAGGGTGATCTATTGTGATTCCAGCAATATGCACAGTGCAGTTTGTGTGTAGATTAATGTGGTTAAAGGAAACAATCTGATGGCTTTTCTTCTTTTTTAAACAGATCACATACAGCAGTTAGACATGAAGGTAGCATGTTATGTTCAAAGTGTTTGAAAAAGTTCCTCACCAACTGCCTCTGCTGTTTATAAACCCTAAAACAGACACTTTAATATCAGAAACAAGTACAAAAATATTTCCATATACGAGTCAAAATAAACAAACCATTTACTAGCTTTCTTTTGCATTATTACCAAATTGCACTTATAATCTAAATAGTTAGGGAAAAGACCATTGACTTTAATCTGAAAAACTGTTTATGGTTTCCTTCTACTTCTCTTTCTGTGACCCATTAAGCTCAAACTATTAAACTGCTCATCATCGCACAAAGTAAAATAAGTGAAAGGAAGCTGATTTACCTGATCCGACTCAGTCGCAACTGATTCCTCGACAAAAAAAATGAGCATCTGTTTTTAAAAACTCCAGCTTAGCTGTTCAGAACTCTCGCTGCTTTCCGTGGTGAGGATCAGGATCAGCCTCTGCAGCAGCAGCGGACAGATCATTTACTGAAAGGAAGATGTGTAGAGATGAGGACAGCTGTTACAGAGGAGGACAGATTAAAGGAGGGGGGGGGGGGACCTGCACCGGTTTTAATGTGGGATAGGGAAACCTTTAAAACCCTGAAAATATCCAAGCTGAAGATCAGAGTATCTAGTAAATCCACATATAGATTCCACTATCTATTATTGAACCCAAGCCTCTTAACGTGTTATAAGGGCTATACTAAAGGTTTTGAATAAATTTCACTCAGACACTGTCAGTTAGCAGAAAGAACATCTGAAGCTTTTTTGTTAATTTTGTGACAAGCTGTTAGAAAGGAACCAACAGAAGAATTTCCACTGAAGATGCGGAAAATCTAAATACTGAAGCCCCACATGAAATCTAACAGCTTCTTACTCAGAGGCTAAATGCAGCTGGAGGCTCAGCTGGGGATTGATGGGATTCAACAAAGATGCTGCAGGATGTTGGATCTTTGAGCAGGAAGAAAAGTTTGAGGGGCGACAGATCAGAGGATCATCTGCTCTATCATTATCTAATGAGTGTTTCTGCAATGCACCATACATTTTTTTATCTCAAAATGCTACAGTTAAAATCATCTCCATTGCTGTATTTGTTATCATAGATAAATATAACAATGATGATGATGGTGAGGGTGGTTTCATTGTAATCAAGTATGTAATGATTGTTGTTGTAATCATCATGGACATCATTATCAATGCCCTTATAATTGCATTTTCATCATTATCACCATCTTCATCATCACCCTGTTATCACAGTTATAATTCTCATTAGGCATCTTCCTCATTAGCACCATCATCCTCAGTGCATTATAATCAATTATATCTCTATAATTATAACCATCTTTGTCATCATATTATCACCAATTTGTTAGTTAATTCTGCTCTCTCTGTTTTTTCGCATAGTAGCTTCATCTGGTCTGTTCCTGCTTGGCTGTGATGCCATTCTCGTCTTCTGACATGGGAGTGTCACTAAATGTCGCTAAATGCATGCTTTGTGTGTGGGATTGCCTTTGAGTCAATGCGTCGATGCAATAACTTGGTTTTCCTTAGATTAAAAACTTTGAATCAATTTGAGTGCATGATCTGGTTGAAGTGTAAAGTACCTTGAGATGACATGTGTTCTGAATTGGTGCTATATAAATAAACTGAAATGAATTTAATTTCATCACACCTCTCAATCATGATTGCTAATAAAATCATCCTCATTCCCATTACCATCATCATCTCTATTTTCATCAACCTGCCGTCACAGTAATACTTCTCGTTCTTTATAATTTCCTTTATTATTGTTACAGGTATTTTCATCATCCTCACCAGCGTTGTCTTTATCATCTTCATCATCATCACCAGCATTTAACATAATATTCATAGTAATATTGCCATGTTATCATCATACTTATATGATTATTTGTGGGTATGGTTGTGTTCACCATCATCAGCTTTCTTTTTAAATCTTTATTAATGTAATTTTTGTTGTTTTAACAATAATACCATCATCTGATAGACGCTTCCCTTAGGGAACTGCTGGCCCTGGAACACCTCGGGCTTACCCCAGAGGAGCTGGATAGAGGGAAGTCTAAGCGTCTCTCCCGAGACTGCTGCCCCTGAGAACTACGAGTCATTTCATCACCGTCAGCCAATAAAGCAGCATTATTTGAGTCTTTACTTACTTCATGATCCCAGTTGCTTTTATTATTATCACCTTATTATCTTCATCATCATGAAGATGATTATCATTCTGTTCATTTTTAACAATTTTTGCAAATTTTTATCATATTTATCCTGCATCGTCCTTTTTACCATCATCACCACCTTAATCATCATCATCATCAGAATTGCCATCATCGCCGCTATCATCATAACTATCATCTTCAACTTTACCTTCATCATCAACATCAACCATCATAACCATCATCATCTGCATCATCATCACCTTCATCTTTATCATCATCATCATCATCATCATCATCATCATGCAGAAATTCATGGCTGTCAGCAGAAACAGAATGAAACCTTTCCATGAATACCAGCTGCTGGAACAAGGTTTGTGCTGCTGCGTCTATTATCCAATGTTGTTCTCTGCCAGATCTAATCTGCTGCACAGCAACCTGAGAAACTTCTCTGATTGCTGTGCAAAACTGATTCTTCTTCATCCTGCTGACTTAAATTGAATCGGGTTGATTGTTCTTCACTAAACTTAATCTCAAGCATTGTCTGCCTGGAGTCCAGGTCTACTTTGTTCTGGAGTTTTCTACTCATCAGTAAATCGAACATTGAGCTATATGAACCATGTTATGCATATCATCTCACTAGCAAGCAGTTGCTGAAGATTTTCAGTGATGCACAGTAAAACCCTCTGAGAAAGAATCACATTTGTTTTTGCCCATGTGCATCAATTAACTTTTAAGTTTTAGCAAAAGATCCAAAACAGTGCCAGTGAATGACAGAAGTCAATCCTTATCAAATTTACTGTGAGCTTCAACTAAACAAACAAACAAACCAATAAGGTAAAAAAAAAATAACTACAAAAATCTAAAACTAGTTCACAATAAACAAAAGTCCACAAAAAAATCAAATGACAGCTAGAGAACGCTGTATTTGTATAGGGATCAGTTATAGTTTTAAATTCTCTATGATTGGTTTTCATACATACAAAAAAAAAATGGAGAGACTACTGGAAACGTCATAATTCCATCTTTCTATGTAAAACCCTCCTATTAATTCCCTGAGCCAAAAAATGAAACTGAGGTGGAATATCAGATTTTCATGGTTTTCAAATTCATCTTTCGGCTATCACCATTGCATAGGTTACTACTCACTTCAGTAGCCAGTTCTTACAGAGTGTGAGAGGAAAAATAGAGCTCTTTCTGATTCAGTGTCAATATTTATTTAAATGCACAGAGTACCATTTAATAATAAATACCAGAAACCTTAGATCTTTAAGCTAAGCATAATAGGAATGATAGCCTGGTACCGTAGCTACAGAGCATTGAGTTGGTGTGTTTGAGAGGGAACAAGATCTCCAGTTTGAGACAAAGACCTGCATCTATGTCCATAACCAAGACCCTCAGCCCAGATTCCTCTAACCTGACTCCACCAGATGGATTTGCTCCGCATATCCATCTGGAAACCTTCCGTTGAAGTAATTTTGGGAAGGGGCGAAAATACTGGTTAGCTGATTGGCCTATGTTGGAGATACACGGGCCAAATAAACCAATCAGATCAACAAAGCATATGACATACTAACAGAGCGACGACGAAAACACAATCACAAGCCAGGCTTCTCTTGCCGAAACCAGTCGAGAGAAGAGCAAAAACATCTTTTCCTCTGAGAAAAGCCTTCAGAGCAGTGTTTTGCTCTTCTTTCAGTGAAGAAATACTCTGTAATTCCGATAAAACATACTCGATAGCCACGCTAACGCTAGTTTAATTGGCTGAAGCCGCCATGTTCTTTAGACTGAACGGTCGCGCTTCTCGTTGCTTCACACCTCAACCCGCCTCAAAGCCAACGCTGATTGGACGCTCCAAATTTTCTTTAACGGAGAGTCTCCAGACTGATTAGCGAGTGAAACCTTGAAAGCTTGCGAGATCAGGATGGTCTCACAAGGCTAAGATTCCTCCTCTGGGACTGCAATAAGCTGCACACTTCTACCTAATGGTTGTTTAAAATGTAGAAGACAATCTTAATGTAAATGTACAATTTCCATAACAAAAATTGCAGTATTATTTAAAGAAACTATTAATGGAAAGCCTGGAGTTAATCCAAAACAGATAATGGAGGTCTGACAGGTTCAAATGTAGATTCTGGATCAGCTTATTTACTTTATGGCTGCTGAGTTCCGATCTAATAATGAATCCACGCCTACGCACCGATCCCTTCAGCTAACCTGAACATCAGGCTGATGGAAAAGTGTTCCAGACGGCAGTTCAGAGTGTTTTCCTGCTATTTCTGGTCATATGACGGTGGTTTGTTCTCCCTGAGTGAGGGTGAACGCCCACGTGCATGCTGTCTCCTCCCTTCCAGGTCATATTGTGTAATCGCCGCTGCTGCTGTCAGCATTACAATGTGTTACATAAGACAATTTGATGTTAGGGGCTATAATCCAGCCGTGCTGCCTGAGCGCTCCCACATCTGGGATTTCCAGCTCATGCTCAACTCTGCATTCATCTCACTAACACCGGAGATTTTCCTCTGGGTTGCAGGCCTCATATAGAGACCTAAGGTTAAAGGACTGACACAACTATGAGTTGCCTCAGTTAAGATGTTGGAGCAGTTTTACTCCTCAAACAAACTCTTTTATTTTTTAATTCTCTTTCTGTTCTGTTTGTATGGACATGTCTTCCACTTTTCTACCTTTGTATATAAGTACAATAACCTTGAGCCACAGACATTATCTGAGCTGGAAAAACAGGTTTAGCCAAAGTGATTCAAGTTTTTGTTGAATCATCTATAAAAACTATAAGAGTTCATAATTTAAAAATAGTGATTTAAAGGGTATTCGAAAGATGAATTAAGTTGTTTCTTTTGGATGGCAGTAAGGTAATATTGTGATATTATTTTTAGGTTTTCTGTTTTAATAAACTAAAGGAAGTATGGCATATGGAAGTATGGCAGCAGTTCCCTCACTTTAGAAACCTTTTATTCTTTTACTGTGATTCCATTTTGAAAATCTGAAATGGTTTTTCACTTTAAAACCTTTTAGCGGATCATTATCAGAATAATCCAGTAATAACTTTTAAAGAATTTGTTCCTCTTTTTATCCTCTCTGTATCACGGAACAGTACTGCAGAAGGCATCCATAAAATTCATTCCCCTTCACAAATTAATAATTTGGTTGATGGGGTCACCTTCTTTCTGTGCACTGCCTTATACAATGTAGCCCCATTTTAAAATGAAGATCTTTAATAAAAAGTGGCTGGATCCTTTGTTTAATACAGAGCTGCATACTTTGAAGAAGAGAAGAGGAGGAGAAATTTGTGGTCTA